TCATTCTATCACACATGGCCATGGTGTGTCACAGGTTGTACTGAGGCACTGCGGGAGGGAGAGTGGTGGGAGGGAGGAGTTGGGAATAGGGAGACTTGGGCACAAGTACTGTTACAATTTTCTGATATGGTCACTTTTCCTGCAAGAGCAGTTGGGAACACAGCAGGAAATTGCTGTAGAAAACATCTACTTATGCCTCCTGTTACACCAGACTAAACAAAAAGCTGAGCTGGGCCATACACTAGTCTCATGAGGGTTGGGAAACGGCTCTACAGGAAATTAAAGACAAATCCAACCAACCACCAAAGCCTCTCTTGCAGAGCCTTGTCTCCTGCCTTGGAGGAATGTTCCTGAGCGGTGTTTTCAGGCGACTGTCCAAAGACCTGCGCCACTGCCGGGGAGGTCTGCCTGACCTGGTTGTGTGGAGCACACACACCCAGCACTTCAAGGTACCTTGGGAGGGCATGGAAATACTCAGTGCTCAGCTGGGAACTGCCAGCTGTCAGCCCATCCAAACTGTGCCCTCCTGTCATAGTGCAGGTAAAGCTGCTGCTGGGCTGCCAGCAGCCACGGCTAGCAGTGGGTGGTTCTCAGCTATTTCATCACACTGTGCTGTAACTTTAATGGGCATAATCAGAATCAGCAGGAATGAACACTGGCTGTGTTGGTGTGGAATAGATCTTTGATTAATGTAAAGCAGTGTTATCAATCAGTCATACTCACTGACTGTGGGTAGCAAGGAGTTCGACTGGCACCACTTAAAACTTGACTGTTTGAGTCTTTGAGAACTATGTCAGGGTCTGCCACAAAAACTGAGTAAACAGTCATGGTTGGTGTTTTGCATGGTAGAGGAATAGGTTCTAGAAGACTACTGGACATCTAACCTGCTGAAGCAACTTGTTTTTATAAAAGAGAGCTGAATAGCAGAAATTAGTTCTCTGGAACACCTGAGTAAGTTGTGTCAGTCTCAGCTGGAACAGGTGAGGTTGCAGGTGCTTGATTTTTGAGTATGAGAGATCTTCATTCACCGGGGCCTCTGTGTTTTGGTGGCTATTTACTATGTAACAGCCGTAAAATAATACTTATTCTGTGGGAATGATGCTGCAGTTCTTGCACAGGCACACTAGTAACCGTGGCCATTTGCTCGCAGCTGGTGGAGGTGAAGGGCCCCAAGGACCGGCTGTCGCCCAAGCAGACGCTGTGGCTGAGCGAGCTGCAGCGCCTGGGAGCGGCCGTGGAGGTGTGTCACGTGCAGGCCGTGGGGGGCAGGAGCCAACGCCTCAGCTGACACACAGGTTTGACCAGGGGGGTAACACACCACTGCCTGCTGCTTATTAAAAATAGTTTCTTCTAAAATTCTGGCTCCTTGGAACATTACTGTGTCCTTTTTAGCACAAAGCATACTACGGTTGCACTCTGAGAAGACTGATTTACTGCACGTCACTTTGGGTTCAGAAGAGCAGAGCCTTTCTCTTCCATCCACAGTTCATAACTTATTCTATGAAAGGTAATCCAGGGGGTTTGCCTAGTGAAGAGAAACAGCTGCCATCACACTTGTACCTCCTGAGAACATCCTGTTCAATATAAAATCTGGGGCATCAAGTCCTGGTCATTTCTGTGTTGCCTGTGTAGCTCAAATTCATCATAGTGTGCAAGTTTCCTTGCAAGGCAAGCACAGCACCTTTACAGGAGTGTCAGGTTCTCTCCTTGCCCCCACTTAGTACTATGTGTTTGAATTTTGCACTTGAATGTAAAAAAATACAGGTGCTCAGTGATGGCAGAGAGCAAGGCATAAAACTTCAATGCTGTTTTAATGCACTGCTCCGTATGAAAGGACAATTTATTTAACAGGCCCTTCTGCTGTGAATATCTGTATTACCTGTGTAAAGGGAAATGTTTCTGGTAGAGACGGGAGTTGGTCAGTGCCAACGTGACCACACTCATTTGCAGTGTGTCACTCATTACAGTCAGTTTTACCCCACATTAATTGATGTGTTTGCTCACTCAGAAATATGTCAGTCACTTGGAATACAATTAAAAAGATTATTTCCTTTTAGGACACCAGAATCCTGCAGGTTTCTCTCAATTTTAACACGCAGCCGACATCTTTTCTCTGGAGTCTTCATTCTCATACTGCTTTTAGAAATTCTGCTTACCATGCAAACAGCAGACACTGTAATAGAATATAGCAAGGAATAAAGATAATTTGCACATAATTTTTATTAATCATCTTTCTTCAACACAGTGTCCCTGCTTTTCTTGGAAAAAACAACCCCCTCCCTATTTTATTGTTAGAGGAAGTAAAAGAAAACTGCCTGAAGTTCACTGTGGAAAGGTATGAACTTTTATTGACTCTAATTTACTTCACATTCACAACTCAGCATCAGGATTTTATCATCTTCCTGCCACTGCTATTTTACTCAGTAAATCATTATCAGGCACAAAGGTTTTAGTTTCAGTTGAAATGGTGAACTCTAAACCATCACAGCAACAGCATTAGAAACCTACTGCCTACAGCAATTTGAGGTACAGATTTCTGTCTCTTTGTTAGAGGCAAATTTAAGATTTCATCCTTTGCTTAAATATATGTTAGAATTTTTTTGGTTTTAATGTTTTTCCCTCTGAGAGTAACCAAAACATTTGCTCAACTTGCTACATTTTTATAAGAATACAAGGCAGTTATATCAGTGGTACTGCAGGCCTGGTCAGACACCCCCCCCCTGCATTTCTGGAAGGAAAGCCACATCTCTGATCCAGCAGTGAAGGGAGGGTGAAGGTACCACCACAGTCAGCTCCACCTCGCAGGAACTGAGGGTCACTAAAGCCCCTCAGCTTCTGAGCTCCCTGCAGGGGCTACAGGGTGGTACAAAGCCATGGCACAGCTAGGGACAGCTGGAATAACCCACCTTTTCTACCAACAGACAAAAAAAGATGAGCTTCTTGGTAGCTTTTCTATTCTTGCAACACCAAAGTGGCATTAACAGTATCTTGTTTTAAATGATGAACAGAAATTACAATTTGAAAATGTGTACGTGTATATATATACACATACACATATATATATACACACTTGCATGTCAGTATTCTGTACATATACATTAAAGATACCTACTCAAACCCCAAAATTGCTTTTGAAAGTTATTAGAGCAGTCCCTGCTGACTTGATAAGGCAACTGTGCAGTGGAGGATATTTCAAAATTAACATCTAGTACCTGTCTTCCAAAAGTAAATTAAAAAGTGTTGTGTAACTTAAGAGGAAGATGCAATACCCACAGGCACACGCTCACTCACACAGACACAGCAGTTGCTCAGGTTCCTTGGAAGGCAAGGCCGTGGACACCAGAAGCAGAACCTTGTCCACATGTCCAGGGAAAGGTGGATCCCTTCCCCTCCTCTCTGCAGGAGGTGCCCCCCTCAGCCTCTGCTTACCTGACTCCCCTTTTTGAATGGTATAAAATGTCTTTTTAAATCTGTTTGGCAAATACATATTTCAACAGGTTTTGTTTATTTTAAAGGCATATTATTTTTAGCCCCCTCCCATGCTATATATATAAAATACAAAGACCCTCTGCAGCATCTGTACACATCTTAGAACTGAAATGTAAAAATGTCTGTAATTTCCTTATAAAAGACAATTCTTTAAATATAGTACCCCTTTTTTCCCCCAAAGGGTACTAGCCTTAACTTTTTTTTTTAATTCCACCAGCTGCTTTTGTGGGGTATTTATTTACACATTTTTGGTACCTTTAAACCAAAGAAGTTATACTTTTAAAGACAAAAAAAATATATATAGTCAACTGTCATTTTAAAAGAAAAAAAATTGGTACCAAAAGACACTAAGCACACAGGTTGAGGTCTGTTATGTCAAGTATCAGGCCAGGGAAAGCAGTAAGCTAATGGGAAAAAAGGAAATCACAAAAGCAAACTAAAACAAATGTTAGAGTAATGAACTGACCAAGTGAGATGACTGCTCCAGCAAGCTTGGAAATAAAATCAACTGGTTTGTGGACCATGTAACATGTTCAGCCCATCTTGCAGCAGAATTAGGCAATTGAGGTGAATACACGTTTTTTCCTCACAAACAGTTGACCAGAAGGATCTGGCTTTGTCTGCCAACAGCCCTGTGCCCCTGTGCAGACATGGCTGTGTGTGCACACAGAGCTTTCACAAACACGGGGTTGGGGGGCTGGGAGTTCCCAAAGGAGCCCACCCCACACAGCTCACCCTGGCCAGGGCCCTGCCCATCCCTCTGCAGCCCCAGCACAGCCCTGGAGCGCAGGAACAGCCTGGGACACTCGGTGCTGTGTGTGCTGGGCTCTTCCAGCACAAAGCACCTGCAAGGCCACTCCAGATGCAAGTTCTCTGAAACAAATCCTTGAGCGACCTCAGACATCCCACCTGTGCTCTGTGACTCAGGCTGTGCTGAAGACCAGTTCAGTCGGACAAACAAAAAAGGTCTCCAAATCCTGTCCCTCTCCACCTTTTTTAAGCTTTACTATACTGTGTATTACCATCATGCAGCTTTCTTCTTTCCCCACAAAAACTGAGAACAGCTTTTAGTCCATCATGTAAGGCCTTTGGTGCTTTCACTTGCGAGCAGGGGCTCAGTGTGAGTTCAACAGCATTTGTGTTTTACACAGATGTGGTTTACTGTGAAATACAGCCTCGCTGGGAAGGCAGATGACAGAAGCCTCAACCTCTGACAATGACCATCACTTTTCCTCCACCCTCCCAATATTCTTTACACTCCTGCCTTTCTCCCTGGGAAACTTGAGTCCTTTTCTGGCACAGCATCCAGGGAGAGGTAACATTTAAAAGGTTTTAGCACAGCAAGTAGGATGCTGCATTAAGCAGAGGGAGGCTGTTGGATTTAAATCCCTCAAGCAGTGCTTGTCCACTGCACTGCCCGTGTGGCTGTGCTCAAATGCAAAAAGAAGGCACCACTTCCTGCTCTTCCAGCCCCTGCCCACAGTGACTGCAGCACCACCACCCCTCGTGGGGCTCCCAACACTGACTGAGCTCTCCTTTCTGGAGCCCAGCTTGGCTCAGGGGGGAGTTCTGCTGAAAGCTACTTCATCCTACAAAAAAACGAGATGGTTGGCAGGGATGAGAATCTGGGCAGGGATATAATGCTGAGGATTTGAGATGCCTATATAAAAAAGTGAGAATCTCATCTGGATGCCTGTTGTTTCCAGAAATTGAGAGGGGGAGGCAGGAGATGGAACAAGAACTTGCCACAACAATCTATTGTGAAAAGTTGGGGGCTGTCAGCTGCATTAGAGTAATCTTGCCACTGTGTCCTCCCAATTAAAGGCACTTCTAAAGCTACTACAATACCATATCTACAGTAAAATGTTTTAAGGTTAACAGTGCATTGTCCTGACCTGGATTTCTACAGTCTGAAGTCAAGCTCATGACAAAGAGCACAAATCTGACTAATTGTTCATGAACACATTTTGTGGAGAGAAAGAAAAAGGAACAACCCCTTTAATGGATACACACTGCATTAGCAGATGTGTAGGGTGATAAGTCACAGAACATTAGTGTGTTGTATCTATGCATGAAAGTATTCTTCCTGAAGAGGCTGTCTGACAAAAGAGTATGTTCCCAGATTTCAGCTGTCATTTCATGTCCACTGTACTGCTTTGGCTTTCCAAGCTGTTTTATCAAAGGGTCATGTAAGTCACTGTCTGGGAAAAAAGGATATTTCAAGCAGAACCCACATTAATGACCACACCAAGCCTCTCAATTAGCTAATGAAGCGCTCCGTTGCATGTAATGAGCCAAACCCCAAAGGACAGTGGGAGTTAGGGACCAGAAGCCCCAGCAGACGAGAACTCCTGAAGACAAAATTGTGCGATTTGAAGCATGACTTGCCTTGCTTTTAAATATTTGTGCAAAACTTATGTAAGGTTTGTATATAAAAATTATTACAGCTTTCAATGCTGCATTTAGCAGTGTTAACTTAGAAAAGACAAAATGATATGCTGTATTCTCCCCAAACCTTTAAATCACACCACCTCAGTCTTCATTTGCCAGCGTCTCAGTGGACAGCCAGATTTTGGCACCACTTAAAAATTTGCTTAACGGTGTTCCCAAAATGCTCCGTCTGCAGAGGTTCCCTACAGGAGAAAAGGGGAATGAGGAGGAGAGAAAGTCTGGGGCACCCGAGGTGTCATTGAAACCACTGGCTCTGAAGTACATCCTGCTTTGATCCAGTTCTGTGCAGTGGCCTTGCAAGGAAGGGTTGCTTTTGTAGTGCCGAAGGTTCCGGTTCAACATGTCCACTTCATCTGCCAGCACAGACACCCTGTGGAAGGCAGTGACGGAGCCACCGTGGCTGATCTGGGCCTCGGGAACCCAGCGGAAGTAGCACAGTTTCCACAGTTTGATTTGTGTTGCAGAGAGGTGGGGCAGGATCAGGCCATGCAGGTCCACAGGCTTTGCAAACCAGTCCCTGAAGAACTGCTCCCTGCTGTGGCTCGGGCTCTCTGCTGGCTGGAAAAGGTCTGGCTTCAGTTTTAGTATCAGAGAGTTTCTCCTTGGAAGGAACTCCTGCTCCCCAATGATCCCGTTCTTTAATGCTGGGGGAGCACCTCGCAATGTGGAGCTGTAGTTTTTCTGCAGAAAAGAAATACTGGTAATTTTCCAGTTTTACATTCATTTGAATAGCAGATTTCCCCGAGCTGCCAGAGTGCATCATCCAGAGAAACGCTGCAACCTTTAAACACTTCTGAGCTTGTGAGTCACTACTGCAGGGCTCACAGGGAAAACTGTGGCCACTTGGGCCCTTCGAAAGAAATACATATGTTTTGTAGCAACTTATAATCAGTATTTACTGAACATACTGACAACCCTGGGGGAGGAAAGTGGCATGCCATCCCTTTTCCATAGGTGAGATTATGCAAATGTTGGCAGTGAGCTCAGTCACATCAGAAGATGTCCCAGAACACAAGGCTCGACAATTTACATCTTTGCTTCTACAGAAAACCATTTCTTTTGGCTGGGAAGCCAAGGAAATTGAGGCTCCTCCTGTTAAACCACGGGTGTAACACAGGCTGTACCTGCAGCTCTTCCAGCAGGAGCCCCTGTGGGTGGGCACAGGCCCAGCCCTGCCCTGCCCTGCCCAGAGAGCTCAGTTACCTTGGAGCGTTTGAAGGATTTCATGGCCCCGTTGTGCACACACGGCGCGCTCTTCCCCACGTACAGCGGGTTGTGGAACAGCAGGCGGTCCCGGCTGGAGAACTGAAGAGACCAGTCCCAAACACAAGGGAATCTGAGGCCTTTCTCACCACCCAGCTGAATGTTTTTGCTTATAGCGAATTCCTGCAAGAAGTTAACATTCAGGGATGTCATTTAGAGGCAGCACAACAGAGCAGCGAGACAGCTGGAGAAAACAGCTGTGCCCTGTTCTCATTTGGGCAGTTACTTTTCAATGATATTGTTTGCTTACTCTTAATCCCCAAACTGTGATTTTGAGAATATACCAACAGTCTCTCAATGCTCTAATTCTTTGTAAGGTGGCTACCTAAAATTTTAAAGGGAAAATATTTAACAAAATAAATATGTTTCACTTTTATCAGCCATCAAATGTTTTCTACACAAGGTTCTGTTCAGTTTTCAAAAACAAATTAAGTGTTCAGTCTTCTAAGTGCTTTCCTAGTGCATTGCTATCTGAACTTTATGCAGTATTTCCAACTTTTTCAACTATTTAAACAATTACGTCAAGAGATTTCAAAGTTTGCCTGAAGCGTGAAATTCTATTTATTGCCTGTCATTCTGCTTTATCAGTTCCAGATATAGATTTGCTTCCTAGAGGAATACAAACAATAACGTACAATAGCAATGCTTTCCTAGGAAAAAACAAAACCAAAATTCAATAGACTTTCTTCTTGAACAGTTCCTGTCTCTGCAAAGATCACCTGAAAGGACATTTTGATCATCTTCATCTGGGGACCTGACTGTTTTGCCCAAACAGAGTGTGACATTTTGCAAAGCACACAGGAGCAACTGAGCTGGGGCGCTGTTGTTTCCAGAGGGGCACAGGGCAGGGGCAGAGCTCCCACTCACTCACAGTGCTCTCCTTCACGCGCTGGTGGGGGCAGTTGAAGAGGAAGGTGCCGAAGAGTGAGATGCGGGCGCTGTCGTGCAGCAGGGTCAGGTACACCTCGGAGAACTCGAAGGCTGCTGGGTACTGCTCCAGCAGCTGCCACACGCAGTCAAGAAACATCAGGAACAAAGGAGACTGGGAAAAGAAGCAGGGGATTATTAGATTTAACAAAGGCTTCTCCCAGATCATACTAATTTGTTTGCAGTTATTGCTCCATTAGGGTATTTAGCTGCATCTCTGGTACATTACTCAACAGGGTAAACTATTTGCAGTCTTGTATTTTTTATGGTTCTATGCAACTATAACACCCTGTATTCCTGTTTAGCCACTCGCTTTATCAGAACTACCTTTGCACAGCTTTCCCTTGTCTTCCTTCATACTTATGTAGCTGCAAAAATACTTCCTGCCACCTGGATGTCCCTCATCATTTCCAAATTAGTGCTTGTATGAGCCTTCCTTACCTCTTGGCTTTGTATTTGCAATTTATATACTTCCTTCTTGTTTAAAATGACCAGAAAGCTTATGATTCAGCCATGTTAACTTCTCACTACATTTTTGAGCTCTTTCCATAGCAGCCCATGAATGGCAAAAGCATAAACCATCATTTACGTATAGCTTTAGAAACATTTTCCTCTTCCCAGTTTCAATCTTCAGTATATCCCTTGCAAGGGTCAAATATCAGCTTTCTCACTATTTTCCTCTGGGCAATAGTTTCTTTATCCCTTCCCCCATTTTCTCCTCTCGGTGCTCAGTGTCCTCGGTCTGTCGGCTCCACACTCTGAGGATATTGCTTTTCTAAGATTCTTGGGCACTGTCCCTGAAAAAGGTTGCTAACCTAGGTCCTCTGTTCTTCCAACCGCAGTTACAAGTCTCTCCCTTGCAATGAAGAGGCCAAATAAGACTGGCTGGAAATGCTGGGAATGAAGCCCTGCACTACCCTCTGTAGATCCCCATGGAGCTGTGCCAGCTCTGAGCCTGCGGTGCCTCTGTGCCAGCCCAAAGCTTTGAGGGCACTGCACAGGGGTCAGACTTTGCATCCAGAACACCAGGGATGAGAGCAGAGATCACTGGTAAAACAAACAGCAAAACTACCCCCTGTAAACCCACTCCTCACCTCCTTTTATTTTAATTTTAAATGTGAGCTGTGCTGGTGTTTGTAACAGTGGGACCTTTTCATGTGGAACACTGAAGCAAAATAAAAATCCATTTCATTGCACCTGGTGTTTCATTGATTCTCACATGGCTACAGAGGATAAAGAAAAGGTATCTCTACCCTGGACGAAGACTTATTTTCTCTGACATTATTTTAATGAGATTGCAAAGTATTAAAACGTATTATTACTTTTAGATTTCTGTACAAATAAATGTCCAGGATGATATCTACCAGATACTGTTATCACATGCAAATACAACTCATTTTTACCTCTTTGTCAGATCTCTTTAAGTGGTTGCACCTATCTAAAAACTGATATCCTGCCATGACCCATTCCTTCTGTATTAAGCTTTGAAATCCAACAATTGTTCGAAAATAGGGATCCAGCATGACTTGGATGAGAGAAGCAGCAACACAGCTCAGGTCCCGTCCCTCTTCCTCTGTGAATAACATACAGAATGAATACAACACATAAGGTATATATGAACATGTACAGAATTGGATCTCTAAGAGCAAGAAGAGGCACCTAGGTCTAGTGTTTTTATTCTAATTTCTTTTAAAAGATCCTTTTTTTTGCTGTAATTGTTCTCCTAGTTAAAAAAAAACAAAACAAACAGAAGAAAAACACACCTCTTTTTTCTTAAACTGAGACTCATAGTACAGAAAGGGTTCCTGCAGTACTCAGCACAACAGTGCATTCATCAAGAACAAAATATCCCTTTGATGCTAAGGACTATACTACAGTTCAGACACATAACAAAATTATTTTCCTTTCTAGTTCCCCAAATGACTAATATATTTAGAAGTGATGGGGTTTATGTTTAAAGATTACAGTTGATTTTATCTAAATCTGTTTATCTCCATTATCACAGTAATGCTCAGAATTACAGGATGCTCTGCGTTGCATTACCTTGCAGAACTACAGAGACGTGCTTGCACTCCATCATATAGACAAGCTCTGCAGAATGCCTAAGAAATGATCTAGACAGGAAAGGAAAGTGATTTAACAGTTAATATAACAGGTTCACATTCGACAAGAAAAAATATTTGGGATATCTATATATCTCTCTATATAACTCATATATTAAAACAGAGAATCTTCCAAATGATGGATTGCTTATTTACACTGCTGAAAGCTTTCCACGGCTCATTAAAACCATCTCATTAGTGGTACAAACCTAATGTACTCTAACCAGCGAGTATTCTCCAGTGAGGACAGCCACTTCTCCTCGGTTTCTTCAAAAGGCTCTGCAATAGGGAAAGTAATGACATTGCAGAACAACTTCAAATAACTATCCCTGTTAGCCAGATCTATTCGAATTCACTGCATTTCAAGAAAATAACCACCGTGAGAGAAGGCCAGTCCAGCCTACCATTGACACAGAGCTGTTTGAGTTTGATGTGTGCAGCCTGGACCTCCTGGATGTTGGGGAGACACTTGTCCAGGTCAGATTTGTAAACATCACTTCTCAGGGGATGGCTCCGAGTTATTGCATTACAAATCCTATGTCAGGAAAAGAATCAGCAGGTTTGTTATTGCAGAGGAAAGAAACAGTCTTTCAAGAAATGTGCCACAGTCTTTAACTGCAAACTAGAACCACATAAAACATGCACCTTATTCTCAAAAAAAAAAGTTTCCTAGTTTATATGCAGGAGATATATTGCTCCTGCCATAAACCTAACGACTCAGAGATTTTTGGTATGTGCTAGTCACAAAACGAAGAAATGGAAATGCTGGAACATGAAAACAATGCATTTGGGAAATGAAAATCTGAGGCTGACTGACAGTTAAATAGTGCTATTCAATTTTTAATTTTCCATCATTTGTAATAAGACTTATCTATGCTAAATAAACAGAACATATATAAAGCTTGTGAAGTCAGGAAATCTGACAAGGTTTCAAATAAAACTCAGAGCTCCAGTTCACACAATGCAGGTGTTTGCACTACTACAGAAAGTCACTCTACAAATTAAACCAAAGAACAAAAAATAACAAGTTAGCAAAGTACTTATGCAAGGCTCTAAATGCCTTCAATCTTTCATCAAGGACAGCGAATGACAAATGTTTCACAGAAATACCAAGGGCATTGTGGCACTAAATCTACAGAACTGTATTTCCCACTGTTCCCACTGTCTTGCCGAAGCAGGTAAGAAAATCTCCACCAATGTAGGCTGTGTTACAGTAAATCTGATCCTTTATCAGTAAATTCTGCCACCTAATGATGAGCCGCCTAAAAAATAAACATGCCCTAAAATCTGAAAAGTTATTCAGTATTTGAAACTGAGGTGGACCTCGAACAGAAATTGTGTCAGAACTACATCCAGAGAACAGTCTCTCAGAAGTCCCCACACTACAACACTATGAAGCAAATATCCATCCCTGCTGTATGTTACAGTCACCAATTGTGTTACTCTGACCCTCTGATTAGGGAATAACTCAACTAATCACTTACCTTTGATCAATCCTTCGTTGCTGCAATACATCTTTAATGTTGGCCATTCTTACAAGGGCACTCCCGTTAGGGTGATTCCAGGACCATAACTGATATGGGGAAAGAAACACAAAAGAAACAACAAAATAATATAGGTTAGTGTTATTTTGTAGAAATATCTTATTAATGCTACACAGAACTCTGTTCATTGGTAAACACAACTTTAAGATTAATATTGTACAATGATCAAGAACAGCAACAGAATAAAGACAACACTTACTGGCATTCGCCTCCCAATGAAAGAGTAGGAGTATAGTTTAAGGTCTTGATCTGCTAAGGAAGATGGAACCACAAAATATTCTGGAAGGCTTGGGGAAAAAAATACAATAAAGAAAGGTCACTTTTCCCTGTGTTTTTTACCAGCTTCTCTCTTGCCGCAGCTCAGTCAAACTGCCCCACAGCAGCCCCTGCAGTGCTGTCCCATGTGATGGCACAGGCATGGCTCAGATAGAGCTGTTTGGAGACGTGTATGTGCCACAGGGAAGGACAAAAGCATGAAAGCCACAGATGCCAAAATCTGACATTTCCTTTAATGACAAGGCTTGCAGTATACTTCAGCTGGGGGGCCCTCCAGGGAGCAGCCCGTTTGTGAGGTGCAGAGCACGGGTGGGTGGGACGGAGGCTGTGGCAGAGGAGACAAGACAATTCCTGACAGGACAATTCCAAGGCAGTACAATTCCCTTCCCCCAGTGTCCCAGAGCAACTTACCAAGTAGAAATCATATACCCCTCGTTGACTGAACACACTCTCCACTCGGATGCACCGGTCCTTTTGATTTCTCTGTCCCAGTCAGAGTAGGTTTCAAACAAAGGTGTCTGCTGAGCACTGGCACTGCCGATGCCACCGCCACCACCTCCTGGGTCTATGCCATTCACCTTTGCTAGGAAGAGAAAAGTCATCAATGCACATTAAAAAAAAAAAAGGAAAGAAAAAAATTAACCCCCTCACCTTCCTAATTGCAAGAATGAGCCATTAGCATCAGGACTAATATTACCTATTTTTGCATTACAAGAAAGCAGTGATTTAATGATAGCTTAATGGTGATACATGAAGATGTAAATGCATTTTTTTCCCCCGCAATTTCAATAGAAAACATCAAATTGGTATGCTGTGCTGCTTGATAGAAAGCAAGACACATATTAACACTCAGGAACAAATGTTACGTCCAGTCACGCAATTTCTTTCTTCAATATGCCAAAGTTCACAACATTTTAAAAAAATAAAGCCTTTACAGGCTACCCTTTAATAGGTACCTTGTGAAGAAAGAAAAATAAAACTTATACAATTTCAACAACTTTAAATGACTGCTGTATTAACAGCAAATAAAATAGATGGAAGGCCAGGTTAAAATATGTTTTTATATATCTGTACTTATATCCACAAAAAAAGGTGGTCTACCATTTTGTGTCAAGGGACCAGGAGATTCTATAGTTTGTTGCTAATACAGAAGGATCTCTTTTGCTGGTCATTCTTTAGGTGCCAAGGAGACACTCAGCAATGTCAAAGGAAACTGCTTTTTTGTTTCTTGACACTTGGAAGTAAATTTTTAGAGGAAAGTGGAATAAACTGAGACAACTCTCTCAGCTCCCCTGTGAAAGCTCTGATCTTTGGCTGTTCTAGTCTGTAAGGATGCAAGAGCCTGCCCAGCCACAGCAGGAACAGCGTCAGGGCTCTGCTGACATCACACTGACTCTGCAGTGTCTACTTTCTGTATCTATCCATTTCATTCTTGCACTGGTACTCTGACTACTTATGTTCTTCTGAAGAAAACTGGACTAAAATCAGAAAGAAGTAGTTCTTCAAAGACAGAAGCAGAGAAATACGATAATTAACAAAAACTGTCAGAATTCTACTGTTCAATAGCAAGATATGTAACTATCAAATATAGTCTGGGAAAAAAACGATGTACACCAGAGCAATGCAGGCTTTTTATGTTCCTCAGGAAGCACAAAGACAGTATCTCACCTCTTACTTTACTGGGAGTAGGAGGGATAGAGAGTCATAAAACAGTGCTGGAATTGCAAGAGTAAAGCCAGAGATCTCTGCTACAAACCCTAGAGTTCACAATAACAACAATCCCCCAACCCAAAAGTATTTCAAACTCTTCTCCAGCAGCTGCAGGATAGCAGAACAACTATCCTTTGCCATTCTGGTCTGCTGCTCCAGAGGAACATTTTACCCACCTTATGTAATTCTTCCACTAGGTATTTTTCCACACAGCAAATGGTATTTTAAGGACAGAGTAAAGGAACTTTCACAGACTAACATTGTATTGCAATTTTATCTGCAAATTGGCTTCCTCTCTAGTCCTTTATAACACTAAAGTACATGGACCTTAATAACTGCCGGAGTTGTAGGAGGTAAGAAATTCTCTGTGTACTTATGTGTGCAGCATGATCACATGCACAGCTGTTCTCGTGCATGCACAGGGCAGTCACGGAGGCACCTGCACGAAGAACATGCTTTTCTGTGCAAATCTGAAGGCCTGCTCTCATAATTCCACAACATTCATACTTGGTAAAAGGTAGGTCAGTGGTTTCTAGTGCCAGCTGCTGAGTGAATCTCTCAGTACCACAGAACTCCAGCAATGGCACCTTCTCTGAGTGAGGCTTGTGAGGCAGAGCTGAGGCTTTCAGCGGTGTATTGGCTGGGGAACACTCCAGTGACTGCACAGCATTGCACTAGAAATCAAGTTCCAAAGGATCTGGTTCAGGCTTACCTAACTGACAAGGTTCAGGTGGAGACTGGCCTTGAGCAGAGAGGGTGTGCTCCAGCTCAGCAGGGGTGGTGGAGGTTTTGAGTGGTAAGAACTGCCTAGTAAGCCTCTAGGAAAGAAGGTATGGAGTCCCAAGTTGCACAAATCCTCCTGCAATACCACCAGAAGAGAAACTTATTCCCAAAAAAGGGCAGGTGAACAAGCCTGCCTGATGGGAGATTAACTGGCTACCTACAGCACCGATGCAGACAAACAATAGGAGGATGGAAGCGTGGATTGACAAATAGGAGTAGTCATGCTGACATAGGTACTTTGGCTTTGTTTCTGACAGGAAAGACATTTCTTTTGATTTTGGTCGTTAACGTCTATCACAATGAATGACTTACAACCATTATAAGTAAGAAGCTGGGTGCAGAACAAGCCGACTTTGTTACCCCTGGAGAAAGCCTCAAATGCTTTTTGCCACTGGTTCCAGACAGAAGTCTTACTAAAAATACATATTACGAAGTAGGAAAAAACCACAATCAAAGTACTTTCATACTTACCTAGACTATGATACATTTCCCCAACATACTCAAATGCAAAGAGAAGCTGAAGATCTGTTGGCTGAGAATAATGAGCTATTGCAAGGCACACCTAGGAGAGAAACATTTCTTACTGTTATTTATAGACAAAAAAATATTGCCCTTAAGTATGCAGAGCTGTTGAAAAGCTAGAAATCAGTCTTCTGATATTTTATTTCCATATTTTATCTGAGTGAATATATAGTTGCACATACTGATATTTGCCACACTGCAATCATATCATGACCATCTGTCAAGAGTGACCAACTGGTAAGGGTGGACTAAGTCTTTGCAAGAAGGGTCAGACTGCAACAGGCAGCCCTAAACATGACCCTCTGTATCCAGAAAGACAAGTAAGGACTTGGAGCTCGTGTGTTGTGCCTGCCCACCTGAACAGAGAAGTAAGGAGGAGAACAGAAAAAGCAGAGTACAACACACAGGCAGTGAGCACAGCACAGCCAAATCTCATTTGAAACTGGTATTTCAACTACATTTTTAAAAATAGAGTACTTATCAGTATAGCCTAAGAACCTAAGAATGGCCATGCTGAGTCCATTCCCAAGGTAAACTTAGCACTTTGCTCCTGACAGCAGCCAGCAATCCATGCTTAAGGAAGGGGGTGAAACACAGAAAACACTGAATGGAATTTTACCAGCATAATTTTCAGCAGTTCAGCCACTTTCTGAACTAAAATTTGGTATCAGTATTTAACAGCATTTGATAGATATTTCTTGTACAAAGTTGTTGGTTGTACCAGGAGGTTTTTGATGTGACATCCCTTTACAGGAGTCCCATTGGTTCTTCCCCTAAGACTCCTGAGATTAAACTTGAGTGCAGCACATGGTTTAGGATTAGATACTAGACTTAAAATACAGTCAAACTTCTCTAGTCTCTCCCTCTTTAAATGTGGATAGTCACTAACAGATACAGAAGATTTGACTAAAAATGTAATATCTAGAAGAATCCCACTCAGGAATTTAAAAAATCAAGTAGAAACTGGCACTGTTATACTGCAAATTGCAGGACTTCAATGGGGTCTTGAGCTTTGCCCTCTTCCCTCAATATTTGCTTCTCCATTTTACTAAAATGTACCTGCCTTATCTCTAAAGAAAATACTTAAGGAAAAGAAGGCCATAAACCACAGGACTCTGTTCTACATGGTCAGATACAGATATTGCATGTGACAAAAGTTTTTAATCAGGGACATAGTGCAAGTCCACATTATTACCACCTAAAATTTTTCCTATTTTCTTCCTTCCCTTCAACTTCCCATGACTTTCCACATTTGGGAACACAATGACACATTTATTCATGGTGTAGCAGTTTAGGTTACTATTTTTGAAAAACATTCTGTGCATCCAAGAAATTGTTTTCTGTTAATGAAGGAAAGTTTTCCTGTTGTGATTGCCATAAAAGAAAGATTTGCACAACAGAACTGAAGGAATAAAGCATTGAGGGACAGGAAAAAAGCCTGAGAGCTCAGTTCTGCTAAGTTCTACATGGAGAAAGTTACCACACTTCTACTGGCTTGTATGCAATATATATGGTATTATGGAACCTCTGCTGTATTTCTATATACTTTGGCTTTTGATGGGGACATTCCTCATTATTTAAAAAACTAGTAATGACAATAGACTAATTTCAGCTGAAAACGTTTTTTCACCAACACTTCCCAACAAAAAAATTCCTATCAAGTCTTAGAACAACAGCTTCTTTAACTGATCTCCCCACACTTTCAGCTCTACAAGGAAACTGCAAAAGAAAATAGAGGGCAGAACATTCCGAGGGTGACAACCCCTCAGAATACCCAAACAGTACAAGTGTCCCTGGGAAACAGTCTAGCAGGACTTATCAAATGAACATTTACAAGCTCATTGCCAGGATTTGGTAAAATTTTTCATGACTATCATGAAATAACTGGAAGGCATGCACATTTTATTAAATCTTGTGATTTCAGCGTACAAGCCAAAGCTGAAGAAGCCAGCTATTCAACAATATCTGGCCACTTCTAACAGATTTCTTATGGCTACCATTAAAAATGAAACACAATGGAAATCTCTGTATATACACATTTTTACTTCCATTTTTCTTTGTAGTTTTTCACTGCTAACTGATTCTAGCAGAGCTATTCCTCATCTTCTTTTATGGAGTGAAAGTTGAAAGCTTTTTACTATACTGATCCACTCTCAAGGCTTCAGGATAAACTGCAAGACATGAAAAAAATTCCATTGTGCTGCCAAATAACACAACAGAAATACAGTAAAACCTATTTTTGAAAGCAGCAGCTGAAATCTCTGTCATTTACTTGCTACATTGGAAAAAGATGGGGGGGGTTTCCTGTGTTAGGAGGGATAAAATGGCAGGAGAGGGGATAGTAACCATTCAGATCTGGTTCCCCCAAAAAATATGACACCATAGCTGTGCTTTTAAACAAAGCAGCTGAAAAATCCCTCCAAGGGTTCTATAGAATAGAAAAAACACACCAGGTATTGCATGGGTGAAACAGTTTGACATCTATTTCTTTTATTTAAAAGAGTGATATATTTATTCTGCTGCTATCTTCATTTTTACATTTTAGAAAAATTCTGCTCATATATATACACTAAACAAGACATACTCATTTTCAGTTTATTCCTCACTAAATCCCTATAGTAGTTTTATAGTCCTAAAGATCCCAAAGACAAGCACATTCCTCAGATCTCAGCAGATTATCCCCGTAAGTAGAAAGCTCTTAAATTGGAAGCCAAACATGTTTTACAGGAAGCCTTCTCATATCAAACTGAAAAATGTTTGGTATTCTTGCCAATTCACAATTGTGTAAAGCTCTAGATACTCAGGCTCAGACAAATAACAAGAGAATGGGCTGCTTGTTGGAAAGTTCATGTATTAAAAGCAGTAAACACAATGGCTGCAGTTGTTTCATAGTACAAAGGCCACTTCCCTGTGTCATGTCCCCTGTTCAACCCTTATCTGAGAAAAATAGATGATAACTTGCAGGGCACACCCTCCACTTCATCAGGATTTTTACCAAGGACAAGAGCTCCAAGGTACTTCCAATGCTCTTGCAGAAGAGTTTTGAACAGTCCTATTCCAGATGTGCTAAGGTAGCATAGCCCGGCTTCCTTAAGCCAGGCCACCTGTCTCACCAACTGCCTGGAAGGATGCTGCTTTCCCTTGCTACTGCAGTTCCTATTCCAAGCAGACACTTGCAGCAGAAAGTCATGCAAGCAGGGCCAGATCAAGCCCCACAAACAGAATTTGTTAATCTTCCTAAGCTGGAAGTCTTCTTGGGAAAATAAGTATTCAGGCAATAAGTCTTCCAGTCCTAACCCTCACACATGTTCTCATAGCTGCAAAGCTATGAATTGTCTAACTGAGAACTGCTTTTTTCCACTTCTATAAGAATTCCAATACCAGCTGTACATAATACATAATTTGGTTTGGGCATGAGAGGAAACATTACAAAGCTTTCAAAAGCTCAAGTAAATTTTTTACATATCAGGATCCTTGTTTGTACAAGAATGTGTTTGAATTCTAAGTACAGGTTTCCCAAGCATTAAGAGAATTATTAAAATACCTCTCTATTTTTTAAAATACCTTTTACCTTTGTCCAGAGCAGCTGTGGATGCCCCAATCCTGGAAGTGTCCAAGGCGAGGTTGGACGGGGCTTTGAGCAACCTGGGCTAGTGGAAGGTGTCCCTGCCCGTGGCAAGGGTTGGAACTAGATGAGCTTTAAGGTCCCTTCCAACCAAAATCATTTTGTCATTCTGTAAGTTTACTTCTGAAATAAGTTTTCTTCACACTCTCCAACCCACTCCAAGACAGTATCTTCCCATGCATTCCCTGTGTCTTGAGACATTACCAATTTTGTGATCTGTATAAACAATTAGAGTAAGGTAATAGAGTTGGGGAACACAATAGAAAGGGTCAGGACCATTTGTCCAAAACTCTTAAGAGTTTCATATTATTGTTCATAACAATTAGGAAAAAAATGTTCCCCTTCATCCCAAGTGTTATGACATAGGAGAAGGCTAGTTTTGATTGCACAGGAAACAAGATTTGAGATAAATAACTTTCCTTCTGCTTTGACTGAGCATGTGATTCTGAAACTGCTCTCATTCTCATTCAAAAAACTTCCTGAAGGAAAAAAACTGAGGGAGTTCCACAAGAGAAAGGGACTGAGAAAATGGAGATACATTTATGGAGATACAGGGTGTGTGCCATTCTGGTGCACTGCCAAGATCCATATGGACGGTGAGGCAACACTCTATCCATCATCTTACAATCATAACATCTAAAGCCTCACCTTTTCATATTTATTTTCTCAGTCTAATGTCAAGTACTGCAGTGGCTAGAAAATGGCAGGACTTCTCAGTTTGACTGTTTGTTGTCATTTTTGGAACAAAATAATTCCTTTCCTTTAAGGAATGTGAAAATGCTTCTTTTTTTGCACTGCCTAACTTAAGACTTCCCCAACTTGCTTGCCCTTGCTTCCCCATCCTCCACTTCCTCCCACACCCATCTGGCTTTCCTTCTTTTGGAGACTCTATAGCTTTATTTTAGAGACAAAACAGAATTAAACTGCTAAACAGTGATGACTGAAAATTTCCATTCCCTCTCTTTTTCCTTAACTCTTGTCTCCCAAACATTCACTAATAAAAATGAGGAAGAAAATATTTACCTGACTGATTAATGCTGAGATCCTCACAGAGAGACTTGGAATAATCTCTATTCTAGTAAGGCAGCTTAATTAATTATTCTCCCTTATGCTCTGTTCAGCAAATAGAGGCACTTCCTTAGGAACAGATTACACTTTCTTTGCCAACACCAATTTATGTCACTGAATGCTGTTGAGTATTTCCAGTACATGCACAGAACTGTGCAAATTACTTAACTGTATAAAGTTAGTATCTGTCCTCTTTGTAATTATTCCATATATTTAAAGCTCATTTTAAATAGTAATTACCATGCGTATTGTTTTTATATAACTATTGCACTAAAGGGAACATTTCCTATCACCTGGCAACAAGTTAGAGACACTTATACTCCTATAACTTGAAGTGTATGTTTTAGTAGCTAGATAGTTCATTTTGACCTACCACTGCTTTATTTACAGGATGCTACTCCTCTGTATAACAAGGATGACATTTCATTACAGCCCAATCTAACCCTGGCAACTCTGAAGAGAAAGGTGGACTAGCTCATGGTGTCCCCAGGCCCCTCCCATGCATTCTCCTCTGCAACATTCTCCCACTCAGAGGACAATGCACACTCAGCCCACGAGCGGGATTTCCCTCACATCAGAACTCAGTTATACTTCAAGTCTTGGTCTTTCCTACAAAAGTTATGCACACACAGTTATTTCCAAGCAGACAGCTACCAGTGTTTTCAGGCACAAAGAGCTGGATGTACATATGGATTAAAGAGGCCCTTCAGAACTTTAAGGAGGCCTGGTTGCTGTCCTTTGTTTTTAAACATCAGGACAACTTTGCTAATAGGTACTACCTGAAGGGCAGAAACAGAAAGCAGATAAAATCTTTCTAGAGTGTGGTGCCAGCATGCCACCTAAATGTCAGAAAGAGCAAGACATCTCCAGTCAATATGCTGTGTAAGTCCCTTCTAGATGTGCTTGCCAGCCCCCCAAAATAATATAAGCAAAATCCTGATACAGGAAAACTGACCTAAGGACCTCATGGTTGACACATTTATATTTTAAAGCTAACAGAACACGTTATTAACAGAACCTTTTCCCCCTTCAGTTTAATTGTGCTTCTGTGATTCACCCACACAGAGTTGCAGTAATCTACTTGTTGCATTAAAACTGCAACAGTAGCCACACAGCTGATATTTGTACACGTTTTCTTGGACTCCTCTAGTGAGCATATTCTGATACTTGAAAACGGCAGGTGTAACACTTCTGGTCACCACCAGCACAGTGTTTATAACCACACCGACTCAGATCCTTCAGGATCTCCAGAACTAACTGTTCTTCCTAGGAACCACCTAAGACCACGTAATTGTAAATGCCTAAAGTAAGTGCTTTCCTAAAAAGGTTTCCCTGTTTGCTCTGGCTGAAGTAAATGCAGCCTGAAAAGCATTAATGAGATGCTGAGTTTATTCTCTCTTCCTCCCTTCTCTGGGCAAATCACCCTCCTCAGCTGGAACAGCCAACTAGACACAGTTGCAGCAGGCGAGGACTGCTCCAGGGAGGTTTCTGGGAAGCTGTCAAAGGGGAACTGGCTGCTGGAAGATTGCCAGACGTGAAAGGTTACAAACAGCCAAGGCAGCAGCAGGGAGGGAGCTGCACAAGTGGCAAGGCCAGAACAGTGTCTGCAGTACCCTGCCCCTGCTCTCAGGGAGGGCAGCAGGGGAAGCAGCGATGGGCCGGCTCTGCAGTTACTCGGCTGGAACTGCTAACACACTTATGCCTGGGCAGATGGTTCTTAGGACTTACAGGGCTAAACTCAAACTTCATCCTACTGAGAAGGGGGATTCTTAAGCTCTGAGAGCAAACTGGGTCATTCCTTACCATGGCTATGCCATGGAGGCCAGAGGAGCTGGAGCAGCCCTTGACAGCAGAGAGCCAGTGTGTGCAGGCTGGGCACCCCTGCCCAGCACAGCCAGTGTGTGCAGGCTGGGCACCCCTGCCCAGCACAGCCAGTGTGTGCAGGCTGGGCACCCCTGCCCAGCACAGCCAGTGTGTGCAGGCTGGGCACCCCTGCCAGCACAGCCAGGGCTTGGCCAGCACAGCCAGTGTGTGCAGGCTGGCCCCTGCCCAGCACAGCCAGTGTGTGCAGGCTGGGCACCCCTGCGCCAGCACAGCCAGTGTGTGCAGGCTGGGCACCCCTGCCCAGCACAGCTCACCCGGGGGCACAGCCCAACAACCTCGTACCACTCTGGGGACACTCCTGGCAACCACGGGAAACAGGGCAAGGAATGACATGTCTAGGAGAGTACAGACCAAGGTAACTCCTCCTGTCAAGAGGTATACCAGTCTTCTCTAAGAAAATGTTTTATGTAGATTAGGCAAACTGGTCTTTGCAAGAGCTTGTTGAAGAACTTGCTGTGTGCAACAATTAAGAAGGCAGTACACTCAACCTAGCGGTAAATTAGGCTTACAACTTTCAGAAATGTATCAAAGTTTCAAACATTTTCCATAAAAAGGACAAACATCTGTTGTACAGCTGCAATGCAATATTCGGATTCCAGTCTTTAAAAAGACTTATTTAATAAATTTGTAATTTTTTAAAGTACAACAGATACGAGAAGATATACAGTTTTATCTATTATGATAAGAAACAGTTAATACATCACATTAAATTTTTCCCTAATAATTTTGACTCTAGATATCTAGATATTCTGCTGTAATAGAATGTGACTAATTTGCAATTCTTACCCCCTAACTTGTCTATCAAAACATAATACAAAATGTTCTTCTCTGCATAACTGTTGCTACATGTAATGACTACAGGGCAGGACATAATAAGAAGCCTTTAATACCTTTTTTGCACTTTCGGGACCTGCCTCATCAAAACGAAATCTGACAATCCGGAAGTCTTTGCAATAAATTATTAATTCCGTTGGATTAAATTTAAGTTTTTGGTTGGGACCCAGGACCTTCTGCTTCCTCTTGGTGTCATTCACTGCAAATAAGAGACAAAGTTATTGGACTGTGCTCTGTAAGTATTCACAAGGTTGGCTCAAACAGACACAGTCATGTTGCTACCAGTTTTTTATTTAATAGACTATTTCAACTGAGGTAGAAAATCTGTTAATTCCTGCTAGTAAAAGCTTGTGCTTCACTAAATTTAGGGTAAACCTCATGTTTTTGAAAAGGGGTAACAAAGGTGGGCCAGTGCAAGACAATGTAACAGGTAATATAACCTCTTCAGTTTAAAAAAAACATTTCTTCATAATGTTCTTCCTCAGATCCACATTAATCTTTAAACAGTGATCACAACAACCTTTGGGTACTGAAAATTTTTAACTAATGATTTAAATTACCTACAGTCAGGAAACCAAATATTTAACAGCCCATGCCATAAAGATTTGAAAAATTATCACTTACATGAAATTCTACAATTAAAGAGGAAAAACATTCCTCTTAAGAAATGGGTTAGCCTAAAGAATCCAACAAAACAGAACCTGGTTCTTCATAATAAGTATTTTATTTCTTTAGATTAAGATGTCTACTGTCATTTGCAGATTTTTTAGGACCATTAACTACTAACTTGCTAAGAATTAGACAAGATTGAAAACTACAGCATTTCTGTTGTCAGATAACCCAGCTATGTGTAAATTGTATAAGTGATGTGCTTTTTGCCATCCAGTGTTTCACTGGCAGATTCATATGTTGAATATAAAGAAGTTGCTAACAACATTTTGTACTGCTATAGTAGGTGTCTATCCTAGAACACCTGTTGATTCAGTACTGTAGTTAAATTTAAAATCAATATAAAGACCCAACTAAATAAGTCTCCTGCGTGGCACCTCAAGATTTATTCAGCTTTTAAGGGTTTTATCCTAAATTTAAATAAACCAAATTCTTCAAATCAGGGAAGGTTAATAACATAAAACCTTAAGTGTCAACAATTCTGCCCAACTGTCATTCCATGTCCCTGTTCCTGACGTACCTGTGACAATCTGCTCAATGCACGTGAGCGGGACATCGTGTTCTCCGAGCAGGAGGTTTTTAAAATGGAACTTCTGAAACACATGAACTCACAGGCATTAATTGCAGTTCTGCAGTTTGCAACCAGATATACAGCACAACTTTGAAGAAACTAGGATAAAAATCAGGCATGCCTGGGCTTTTCTAACATGTACCACCCTTGCCTCTTCACGGGCAATTAGAGGTTGTGGAAGCAGCCTTCTTGTGCTGGTGAACTGCACACCCAACATTTCAGAAACCCCAGTAGAGTATGCAAATTAAGCTCAATATTTGCACTGAATTTACTGAATTAGCCTCAAAAATTACCGGTAGAAATTCAATACAATCTGAAGTGTAAAATATTGATCGAATATAAGGAATCTCCAATTATTACAGTAACCATAGAAAGAAAAAAATATTAACTCTACTTAAAGGAGCAAGTTTTGACAACTACTTCATGTCAAAAATTAACCTTTTGAAATAGCTTTAGTCAAACTTACCATTACTGAATGAGCATTTATCTACTTTCAGAGCTTTACACAATGCTTAGGTTTTTTTAAAAGCCAAAAATGAAAGTGCAAACTTCACTGAAAATACTACACAGCTCATTACTTGTACTTCCCAACAGTGCAGTGTGCTGTGCTGTTCAAAAACGGATCAGGGTTTTGAATGTCACATGTTCTGCTTTGACAAAGACAAAAGAGTTTCTCTCTCCCCTTTTCTTGTTGCTTCATGTACAATGAAAACTCATTTCATGGTTACTCTGCCCTCCATCAGTAACACCAATAAAACTCAGCCACATGAAAGGCTTTGCTGATCTGACACTGTTCAAAGGAACATTTGCAATTATCTCCTTCAAGGAGGAACAGTTTGTTTACAACTCCTGCTTTGTCTTTGGTCAAACCACTTCCCGAGGCAGCTCCACACACAGAGGTGAGCAGAGCTGGATGTACCTCTGTGCAAACCTGCTCTGTTCTGATCCTCTCAGTGAAGGGATGGAACGGCAGCACACCGGGAACAGGACAGTGGAACCTCATCCTTTAGCCTGCTTTGTTTTAGAAGGCATCATGTGGATATCAGACCTGAGCCATTCCCTGTGTTTCCCCTGGCACACTGCCCTGGTGAGCAGCGTGAGCAGCAACAAACCTGCAGTGGCATCGGGTCATCCGTGATGAAGGAAATCTTGAAGTTGGTGCAAACCAACTTGCCCCACAGGTCATACTGGCTCGTGTCTGTTGCAATGCACTTTCTTACAAAATTCACTTCATTTACCACGATTTCACCTTAAAAAGAAAAAGGGGAGGGGAAAACAGAAGCCTTTATACATCTTGTAGATACAACAATTTCTAAGTCTGTAGTACCAAGAAACCCTTATCTCATTACCTCTTTCAAGTTATACACCTCTTCTGGGTAAACCTGGAATTTAACTAACACCAGTCCAGGGGAAAAAAGAAAACTACCATTCCAAAATGGACAATATTGTGCAGTAGTTAAAAGGAAAAAACAAACAAACAAACAAACAACCCCAAACAACCAACCAATCATAAAAAACCAACAAAACAAAACACAAAAAAAAAAAAAACGACAAAAAAACAACCCACAGCCAAAACCAAAAAAACTACACAATGCTTTCCCTATATCCAAGAGGAAAATCTGCAATTCTCAACTATTAAAAATTCATTGGTTTGAACAACAGCGTCCTTTAAACAAAAGCATACGTTCCTGTACTTCAGCTAGTATTTATTTTAAAAACTGAAATTAGTTGGATATTGTTAAGTACTTCAGAGAGTTTTACGAACTTCATGAATTCAGAATTATCAGGTCACATCTAGTTTTGTATTTATAAACAGATTTTCAGGTGATTTCAAAAAAGAAAAACCAGAACACAAACACATTTCAGACATTCTACTGTGACTGTCTACTGAAGGAGACCAATCATTTTCCTTTGCAAAACAGAGATCTAAATGAAGAAAAAAATAAATTATGCTAATTGGTCTGGCATAAGTCATACAATAAAAAAGCACATAGGCAAATGAGACTGACGATGACTTAAAAAGCAGAAGTAAATCACTACAGATAATGTTACTTTTTAGTTCTGCAACGGAGGTTTCTGGAAGCAAAACAGCAATTCTTACTTCAGGAATTTAACGTGGTAATCCATTTTATCCCTGTGTAGGACTTTTGCTTCTGTCATCAGATGAACCATCTCCAGCTGCTGCTGTCTACCATAAATAGTGTGGGAGTGGAAGTGTGTTCCAAGAAAAGCGTAATTTCATACTGGCTGTAGGTTTCTGTTTAAAAAAGACTGAGGACTAAAGATTGCTGAAGCCTAATTTGCTCATAATAGGTTGGGCATATTTAGTCCCAGTTGCCTGAAATGCAGAGTGTCCCGTGTTTTGCATGAAAACAGGCAGTTCTTTGGGTGGCTGTAAGGGCACGAATCAGTTATTGTGAACATAGCTTGGAATAAGCTTCCCACCTGTCTCCTGATCCAGAGAAAGTATTTTCCTCAGATAGTTCTCACTGCAGCCACGTAACCAGACGTTCAAAGGACTGTCTTTAGCATCCTCAGACACTTGAGTAGAAATGGACCTTTTGCCAGTTCCTGCACATGCTCCTCACCCTGAACTATTTAAATCCACTGTCCTACTGGCTCTCTCACCCCTAATCCGATCAGGGATCAGCATGGAAGTTACTAAGAGCAGCAACAGAATCCCTGCTTCTAGTTCAGTCGTGATAAACAGCTACAAAAATCTCTCAGACTAAGTCTGTAGCCCTGAGCTGTCAGAATTATGCTTGAAGATGTCAGGAGACAACTTTCATTGACCTGTGGTTATCATACACACACATAATCTATGCCAGAAGTGGCAGGAGTAGTGAAAATGCTCTATAAGCAGATATGCTGGAGCTTTAAAGCCTTTTCTCAAACACTACTAAACTGTGCTTAAATAAGCTTTTGAATTTGAAAACAAAAAATCTGATTCTGACAGCGTCAGTACAAATAGTTAAAGATCAGCCAAGTCCACAGCAACTGAAAACAATGTTTTATAATGGGGTACATGAGAATGACAAGCCCTACTTCTACTAAACGCTGCAATGAAAATGTTTCAATACTTTTAGCAGGGTCTGGCCTGAAACTTCTTAATGCCCAGCATTTCTTCTAGTAAGCCATTTACTTAAATAACTGCAAAAGCCCAAACCATATACTGAAGTAATTTCTCCTCACAGTTGGTGTTAAGTCTTCAACTATTCAATGTCAAGTTCTCAGTCACGTGTCTATGAAGCTTCTCCTCTCCACAAACTGAGTGCTCCATATTTTTTATTCTGCCCTCTCAGTACTGCCAGTGTATCACAGCATTTCTAATAAAAAAATATGGAGCGTTAAATACACCATGAAATGAAGTGCAACTTCCATAAGTATTTTTTGGTATAACATTCTCTTATCTGTTATCAAGTATAATATTGTTTAGTATCACACTCTTGCTAAAAGCACAAATTACTATTACCAAACTATTCCAGTACTTCATATCTTTGATGCTACAATACATACAAATATCTTCATTTTGAATCTACTACAGTTTAAAACTTGCCTTATCATTCTCTTACCAAAGTCAGCCCTTTTTACTTTCCTCCTCCATTCCTCAGAATTGTGTGGCTACACTGCAACATGTTAATACTAATCCTATTCCAGTGCACCTTCATTTAATCTCATTTCATCCAACAAAAAACCATTCTGGATTTTTTGGCCTCACTTCTTCCTTGCTCTCAAGTTGGCAGCCCTAACAGAGAGCTGTCAGTTTTGAACCTGAGGATTATGGTGTGCCAGGACAGGGAGTGCACCCACACGGCCTTCACCCGAGGGGCTGAAACATTTACAATGAAACAGGAGAAAGTTTGCAATGCCAGTTTAATAACTGCACTTTCCAAACACCTCTAGAAACTGACTTTCTTTTAACGCAGGTTTGGAATTTTATATTGACCTGTCTTTTATCCCTCATTTGGATATCTCTAATGAGCAATATAAAAAGGTGTGAATTAAGTCAAGTTTAGGAAAGCAGATAAACAATGTAAGTAGTAAGTGTAGGACTTGCACAATGAAGCTTTCTTGTATTTGCAGTTGAGTAGGTGATTTTTCTATGCAAGTGTCAACAACAGAGCTATTCAGAGATATTACACTGCACCTTTCTACAATGTAGCTGCTGCTTTTTTCCAGTAAACAGTCACGAGCTGTTCCAGACAGCAAACAGCAGTCAACACTTCCATGTGACTCCAAGAGTCAAAGAATGATCTCAGGCGACAAGAGCAGTTTGTTTAAACTCTGACAGGAAACCAGAAGAAAATTTAGAGTTGCTACCCTTACACATAAAGCCTAATCATTTTTAATAAAAATATTTCTACGCTGAACACATGAATCAGAAAAATAACACAAGAGACTGAAGAATCTGTCTAGCTCGTAAACCCTCCATTAACACACAACATCAAAATTGTTCAAGTTCAGAGAAATTCTGCTAAATCTCCCAAAAGCATGTAAAATCTGAGTGGTTCATATTTTGGATGTTAAGAGAATTTGTGGTATGTATCTAATCCACCATAATGCACTACCATCAAAATAAAAATCAGGCAGCAGGGCATGGGAACACCCAGGAACTGGAGCCAAGAGGGGCAGGACTGAAGGTGCTGAGTGCAGGGACCAGCTGGGGAGGGACCCACAGGTGTCACAGTTGGGGAGGGACCCACAGGTGTCACAGCTGGGGAGGGACCCACAGGTGTCACAGCTGGGGAGGGACCCACAGGTGTCACAGCTGGGGAGGGACCCACAGGTGTCACAGCTGGGAGCAGCAGCACCCTGTTCTCCCCAGCCTGAGGTCACACTGAGTCTGGGCCAGGCTCTACTGCAATTTGTTTCCTCAAAATTTGAAAACACAACCCCTAATCACTAATATCCTAAAATAAAGGATATTCTGCACCATTTTCCCCATAATATTTTTGTAACTTTTGGTGCCGTGCCTCACAGGATCAAGTTTAATTTTTTGTTTATCTTATGAAGGTAGCAATTTGTAACTTATATGAGGAACTCTGGATCTGATACCTGCATAAATACAAATCACACAAAATATCTAAAAAATTTGCTTAGCTTTTTTGTGTATTTTGTTATCAATCACAGGGTAATCAGACAATAAGAAAATCTGATAGATCTGAGAAAATAAGCAAGAACTGCCAGAATTAGCACTGCTTTAGAACTTGTATATAAAAATTTTCCTTTTTTCTCTAGAGGCAACACTCTGGATTCTTTACAGCAGCAGGAGATGCATAAATAATCCTCTTTCACCTATTTGGCCAGTTCTTATGTTTGCTGCTTTAAGATTCTGTATTATCTTAGCTTCGAGTTCAAGAAACACACCAACAAAAAAAGACACCTCAAGCAATTAATACTAATAGACAATCTTGTTATCACATCGAGAACCTGGCACTTGCTAGAGGCAATGAATGGCTGAAATCATGCTCCATAAATTAATAATGCAGATGCTACATGCTCGGTAAGTTTGCAGGTACCCTACATGTTGCTAAGGGAACTTTTCCAATGCTGCACTAGAAGCACAAGAAGAGATTTAGCAGCATATACTTTCTTTAATGAACATTGAAGCTCTGTGGGTATGTTTGGTGTATGTTTAAGGTCTGATAGACATAAGGACAATAGAGGTTATTAAGTACTTTCTGCAGTCATATAATTTCTACTTAAATTAATAAAAACCTAGCACCTAGTGGATACACTTAGGAAACAAAACCCGTTTCTCATTTATAATGCTGATAGTGATTATACCCAATTAAGACAACAGAAAAATAGCTTGTTTACACGAAAGATAGTCTTATAAGCTCACAATAGAAAAGCTCAAGTTAATTCAAGTAGCCATTTAACCATTAAGACTGGAGTTCACTTGTAGCATGATTAGCAAATAATTAACTTCTGGAAATTCCCGAGTAAGAATTTCCAATAAAAACTTCATTAATAAGTAACTGAAATCTAGAACATTTTTACCCATTTAGCTGCTCTCTTGTAGAGAGAATACCAAAACTGTATGAGTTTATTAGTATGCAACAAGCATTGAGATGTAAATGTCTCTAACCCACTTCTAAATGAATCTTCTGTTCAGTGTGCTCAGCCACTTCCAAACTTAAGAAAAAAGTATTTGTAAGCTCATGAAATAATTGTCTTTTGTCTTTTTTCTGATTTTCATGAGCTCTTACAATGTATTTAAGGTATGTGAAGACAAAAAAAGCTGCA